AATTATATAGAATAGATAATTAGAATAGATAATTAAAAATATGTAAATATGAAATGGTTGTTAACATGTGTATGTTTATTTTTTGTCTTTGTTCTGTTATATTGGTTCGATAAAAAAAATGCCATGTTGGATGTCGCAGTTACGATGCAGAGGTGTAAGTTGATGATGTAATCTGTACTGTCCCAATTCTCCTTTTTTTTTGCACACTGGTAACCTGCACACTCAAACACTTATGTGCACTTTGACTGAATCCACACTTCACAGAGGGTGTGCACTGACTGAGCATTGGGACTGGGCCTTAGTTAGAAAAACTGAAAATGAGTTGTTGAGAAAAGTTGTTTTTTGGAATAGACAGAGCTGCCACCTAGAGGACATTGGTGGAACTGCACTTGAACTTTGTGTTTCAAAACCAGTAAAAATATCCCTGTTTTTCCATTTTAACCTTTTCTTCCTGCATATTTATGCACGTCTTTATACCATAAAAATAATGATGGATAATTGGACGGTAGTTTTTAACCTACAAACTGTCAGCAAACAATCAGAAATCAACTGAATAGACCTTGAGATCCACTATCCTCCATGCTTTAGATGTTTCTCTGCTTTGCACTTCTGCTAAAACATGCAGGACTTTGAGGACCAGGATCAGACACCCCTGCTTTAGACCCATTTCCAGTCCTGCAGATACCCAGCATGCATCATTAACAGCTAATCTAGACTGGGGCGAAGCAGAAGTCRCACCTGAGGGTGACGATGATGGCGGAGGGCTGCGCGCAGGCAGTGATGAGCGTGACGATGAAGAGGAAGATGAGGAACGGGATGAGGGTGTTGCAGGTGCGGTCGCACTTCCCCGACACGGCGTAGCCGTTCTCGTTCAGGTAGGTCTTGACGATGACGAGCTGCAGCTGGTTGCTGCCCTGGCTGCCAGACGGCGGCGTGATGACCTGCCTGCTCTGGACGCAGGCGCACTCCGAGTAGTTACGGATCTGAGGGGAAAACCACAGTTCAGACGCACATTTCCACATGTTTCCAGATTCTTCTGGACATCAGAATAAATAGTTGGTTAAATAAAATGTATTCTACCCTGTTTTTCCTGTTAAAACATTTAAAAAAAGGATCTAAAAAATATGTTTGTTGTGACATTTATAAAAACTTGAATGGAATTTCTACTTTCTTTTAGGATTGTACCTTTATTAGAACATTTTAAACTCACTTGATGAAGCAGTTTTACCAAAAAGTGTTAAATTATTCCTTTAAGGACAAATATTTAAAATTATTTGGAAGAAATCTATGAAATCTAAAACTATTCTAATTTAGCATTAAAAACTGTTATGTTATTCTATTTTCCAAATAAAGTTGTAAATTCAGTAAATATTC